CTGGGATTTCTAAGTTGGGAGACTGGGAGGGGAGAGGAGAAGACAGGAGATCACTGAGGGGAGGGAGGAGATGGTGGAATCAACATGGGATCTGTTGAAACTGAAGTGTCCACAGGACCTCAGAGACAGTGTCATTCAATCATTCATTCATTTTACAAATATCGACCAAGCACGTGTGGTGCCAGGGTGCAGCAGTCTGTCATACAGAAAGACTCCTGCTCTGACGGAGCTGAGTGTTTGTGGGAAAGACAGACTGGGGAAGGCAGAGACAAGCAGGCAAAGAGGAAGTGGTGGAGTTATATACAGGCTCAGGGACCAGGGCTGCTGGTGGTCTTGGGGCCTGGCAGCCTAAGGACAGCAGTTAGAGCTGTCTGGGAAGGTAAGCCTGCCCAGGGAGAGGGGCAGAGAGAGCAAAGCAGAGGGAGGGTGGCAGGCCAGCATCTGGGGGTGGCAGGGAGAGGAGTGGCTGCCCAGAAATCCAACCCACAAAGAAACCCATGATGGAGTGATTATGGAGGGGAAGGGAGCTGAAGCAGGTCACAGGAAGAGGGTTTCAAAGATCTGACAACTGACACTTTCATTCATTTATCAGACCTTTAGTGTGCCAGGCTCTGAGCAATCAGAGGTGAGCAAGGACTGGTGGCATGACTCAGTGGTAGAATGCTTGCCTAGCATCCAACATCACACACACATACAAACAAACAAACAAACAAACAGAGATGAACGAGCAGTCTCTGGGGAAGATAAGCGTGTGGATTACAAACAATTTAGGAAAGCTTCATGAGCAAGATTCTATTGTGAAGTTGCTCTCCTATGTGCTAGGCAGTGAGGAAGGCTTCGTGGAGGAGAGGGCAGGACAGTAGAGAATGGGACAGAGACAGCAGACACAGGAAACAGCTGGAGCAAGGTTGTGGAGGTGAGCACCTTCATGGTGTGTGCTGGATGCAAGTGTGCAGGGAGGCTGGCACAGTGGGCGGAGCAAGCCAGGGGGTGAGGAGTGGGGGATGTGGGGAAGATCCTGTGTTGGGGGAGGCATGAATTCTGTAGACGAGGAGGGCAGTGCAGGCTTTGAGGAGAGTGCCTGCGCTCAGTAGCATGCCACCAAGTGGGCAAGGTCCAGAGGCACGACATCCCACCACCCTAGGATGCCGTGGTAGGGCTCCCCTTCTGGCTCCCCAGGGTTAGCAGGTGCCAGTCCAGGGCAAGGGCTCACTCAGTGTCCTACACAAGGTCAGACCCACACTGGGAAAGCACGCTGAAGACCCTGAGGGAAGGGGGCACCTGGAAGGAGTCCTGCAGATGGGCGTGTGAGAGAAGACCATAGAGTGTGGAGCAAAGAGGGGAGAGTATGCAGTCCAAGGTCTTGAAATGGGAGCAGGGGAGGATGGGCAGGTGGAGGTGCCAAGGCCCACTGGAACTAGAGCCACTTCTACAGGGGAGCCCCAGGCTGACTGAGGGCCTCTTTCTGCCTGATCCTAGCCTACCTCCTCCCAGTCAGGCCTTTCCCTGTCTCATCCTGGTGGATCTTTGGAAACAAACCCTGAGTGAAAGGCCTCTGACGCCCCCTGTTAGCAACTCTGCTTCAAAAGTCCCCAAATCCCTTAACTACAGACCCTGAACCAGCATTTCCTGAAAATGTTTGGGCCAATTCCAGGCAGCAGAGAGTGGGCTCTGCCAGGATGGAAGTCTGGCTTGTAGTATGTACCTGGACACCAGAAGCTTTCTGATTGATCTGATGTGTCTCCCTCCATCTTTCACCCACAGCTGGGAGTGATTCGTTGTCTCTCTCTCTGTCTCTGTCTCTCTCTGTGTCTCTCTCTCTCTCTGAATCCAGGGACTTTGCACATGCTAAGCAAGCACTCTACCACAGAGCTACACCAGCAATTTCCTTTGAGGTGATGGAACCATTTGGTGTTTTGACTGTCGGTGGCTATGCTAATCTGTGCCTGTGATAAAATGTCATGGGTTCTCCACAAAGACGAACGAAAATGACTGCCTGCAAAGACCAGTGATCTCAGGTAAGCTCTGTAGTCTACCAGGGTGTGTGGTGCCTTATTGCTTTCCAGGTTTGATTGTTCACTGTGGTTACATAAGATGTCACCAGGAGGAAGCTGGGTGACAGCTGTCTACCTGCAACTTCTTTCCAAATAAAATGTTAGGGGCTGGAGGTGTGACTTAAGTGGTAGAGCACCTGTGTAGCAAGCTCAAAACCCTGAGTTCAAGCCCCAGTACCAGAAAAAAAGCAAAAACAAACAAACAAACAAACCACTTTTCTGTTTTTGGAAAAAATAGAGCTGGCCATATGATCTCCCTAGTCGTCGCCACCTAGCGGCACAGGTGGGAGGTGCAGGATGACGTTCCGTTTTCCCAGCAGGGCCGGGAGTTTTCCTCCCTTTACAAAGGAAATTTGCCAGCTCCCTTTCTGCACCAGGTGCTCCGCTGAGGCTGACAGTAAAAGAACATCCAGCCTTGGGGGACCCAGGAGGCTGGACTCCCTCGAAGCCTGGTCAACTGACTGGTCAGTAAGGTGCTGTGAAGGCCTGGTCCCTTGTCATATGTGAACAACACTGAGGCTCTCCCAGAGCTTCCAGAGCGGTGTGTGTGACGGTGGTGGTGGGAGATCCGCTGAGACCTAATGTGTGCTCAGTACTTCAGCCTTCATCCTCCCCAGGTGATGGTTCTGATGGCACCCAGTTGGCCTCCTGCTTTTGCTTCCAGGGAACATCAGCCCAAGACATGCAAGAGAGAAGCCTGGACAGCGAATGTGGGTATTTCCTGGAAAATAAATCATTTTTTGGGGGGTTGCCAATCCCTGAGTAGATGTGTGCACTGAGGCACCTGGGACAGGAGGTGAGGGAGGACGTGGGGCAGGGTGTGATGCTGGGGACAGAGGCCACCTGTGGAGGGGAGGGCAGGAGGAGGACCTGACTTTGAGAACAGTAAAGACCTGAAGCCGTGGGTACAGAAAGTGGGAGAGAACACCTGGCGGGAATGTCACCTGGTACTGTCGCTGTAGGAGAGGGTCTGGCAGGTCCTCCACAGGCTACAGGGAGAGTCACTGTGTGAGCCGGCACTTCCACTCCTGGGCTTGTTCCCGAGAGACTTGAATCACACGAGCCACGAATGAATGTTCCCATCCCCAGCTTTGTGTGTGGAAGCCCTAAGCCCCGTGTGATGCCTTTGGGAAGTGATTAGGTTCCGGTAAGGTCACGAGGTAGGGTTAGCGTCCTTGTAAGAGTAGAGACTGCAGCTCGATCTGTCTGTCATCTGAAGACACAGAAAGAAGGCGCCCATCTGCAAGCCAGAAAGAGGACACTCATCACAAGCCCACCACGCTGTGGCCTGACACTGAACCTCCAGCCTCCAGATCTGTGAGAAGTCTTTCATCTCTGCTGATTAAGCCACCAGCCTGTGTGTTCGTGGGGGCAGCCCCAGCTGAGTAAGACCTGGTGCCCACAAAAAAACTTGCACACCAGTGTCTGCAGCAGCTGTATTCATAACGACCCCAAAGAGGATATATAATTCAGATGTCCTTCAGTTGGTGAGTGGATAAAGAAAAGTGGCATGTCCACGCGATGGGATGTTCTCTGGCATGAAAAAGAGTGAGGTAGTGATGCAGGGCACAGCATGGTGGGACCTTGAAAATGCTCTGCCAGACCTCAGCTGGTAGGCTGGGTTGGAAATGGAAGAACATTCACAAGTGGTAGCTAAGTTTGGGGGGAAAGGTGCACAAAAGAGAGCTGAGGTGGAGTGCAGAGCAGACGTGAGCAGAGGCCAAGAAGAGCACGCAGGATACACTTGAGGTGTCTGGCATCCATCATGCAAAGACATCCTGCAAGTTGGTGGACATTTTCCTTTGGGACTTGGAAGAGCGCTACCTGGGCTGGTGATGGAGATTTGGAGGTATGTGGGCTGAGGGCACAGCCTGGGGAGTCTTCATGTCCAGGGAAGACAGAGGGGGGAAGCTGAGAAAGGGAGGGTGAAGGATGCCAGGAGGACACCAAGCAGATCACGTGTCCACTCGCACAAGCACTGGGCATGTCCCTTGGAGTTAGCAAGCAGCTGGGCCCCATGATATTTTCTAGGGGAGCTCAGGGCAGAGGCTGGGCAGCAGGTCTTAGAACAACTGTTGTGGGGGGGGTGTTGGGAAGAGGCCCCCACCCCCGTCAGCTGTGCCACTGCCCCTTCTATGTCTTTCCCTAACTAGATGGAGCTCCAAAAGGACAGCTTCTGTTTCTACACATCTTTGCGTGTTCAGACAAAATCCAGTTCATTCAAACTATATCAGTGCTCACCCTCACCTGGGCCCAGTGTGGGACATGTAGCTGAGCCTCACATGTCCACTGGGACACCAGTAGGTTCCCAGACTGTAAGTGAAACTCTGGGCCAGGCATCTGCTGTGTGACCTCTGGTGAGTTACTGTGTCATCCTCTGGTTTTCTCATTTGGTGGCAGGTGATTTCTGACACTTTTCCTGGGGACAATATGTGATGATTCTAGAACTTCTCTGCTTGTAGCTACGCTTTTGGCCCCAGAGGCCTCAGCAGAGTTGGAAGCCTGGATGGTGGGGGTGGGGTGCTCACACTTCCTAAGACTTCTTCACCCCAGGACCTTCCAGCTCCTTGTCCTGATGACCCAATGTCCTTGCCACAGCCCCCTGCCCATGCCCCCCACTCAGTGTGGTCTAGAGGGTCCTGCATGCTGTCTCTTGCCAGCCTCTCCAGTATCACCTGTGCCCACTGGCTTTCTGAGCCCCAAGCATGATAGGCTTCCCTCAGATTTTATTCTCTCCACAAGCCTTCCTTTGCACCTGCTGTTCCTTCAAACTAGACACTCTTCATTCCCTTAATTCCTCACCTGGTCAGCTCTTTATTGCTGCTCACTCAAGTGCAGCTTCTGCAGAGGAACTGTGGGTCCTTGGGCAGTTACCCTCCCCTCCCAGCAGGCCTGCAGAGCACCTGTGCTTCTTCCTTGCTCTGCTATCAATGGGTAAATGTCTGTCCACAGCCTCCAGCAACAGGGTCCCCCATGTGGGTCTCCTGCTGAAGAGGGCTCCAGGCAGGACCCCCTCTGTTTGTGGCTCTCTCCACAGGGTGAAAAATCTATGGGGCCCTCTTGGAGGCCGGAACTTTCCCTTTAGACCAGATGCTAATACCGGGAACCCCAGAAGCCCCTGCCCCAGTGCCCTAGCCCTGGGCCCTTATGTGTCACCAGTGATAGCCAAGTGACAGCTGGGTGCAGGAGGTACCAGAAGTATGCACTCATGGACATGGGTCATTCCTTGGGGTAGGAGGCTCTGTGGGTAGAAGATCCAGAGCAGGCTGAGGGCTAGGGCCAGCTCTTCTCGTGCCACCCCGCTCTGGTATGGACCTCAGAAAAGTCAAAGAAGTTTAGAATCTGGCCTTCCAGGTCATTATCAAAGTACATTTCCCAAAGCAGGAGAATAGAACATGTTTTATTTAACAGTTGTCAGCTTGACTTAGAGCTTTTAAATATGCAGCCATCTAGTAGGAGGCCTCCATTTGTTCTCTTGCCCAGCTCTGACAGCATCAGGGCAGGGCTTGGGTCAGCCTCCTCCACTGGACCCTAAGCTCCACCAGGGCAGATGCATGTGCTGTACCCCTGCCCCAGAGCACAGTGCCTGGCACATGAGGGCACACAATAAATATTGACAGTGAGGATCAAGTGGGATAATCCACATAAAATGCTGGCATGGTGCGAATGCCCAATAAATACTAGCTATTATTGTCTGTTGAATCAATGAGGGTGGGTGGGGCTGGGGGTCGAGATCCATCAAGTGAGGTGGGTTGTGCACAAGGAGGGAAGAGACTCTGCTGACTCCCGGGTTCACCCCTCCTTCTCCTAAGGCCGTTTTTTCCTCTCCGCACCTCACAGGCCTCTCCCGGCTCTTCACAGCAAAGTAGGCACCAGATAGGTACATGTGACAGCCAGGGTTCTGAGAGGGATGGGGGCTCTGACCAGTGCTATGTCCCCCTCCCAAAAAAAGAACAGCTGGGTTAGTTTCCTTCTTTGCCTTCAGGGATGGCCCCAGGCCATCCCTGAACTTGCCCAGCTTAGCTTCTCTGCTCTGCCCATAGGCCCATACTGCAGTGGTGGAGGAGGGGGCTGAAAGGATTGGTAACCCCCCCACACCGGAGGTTTTGTCTGGTGTAGGAGGAGCTTTGCTGGGAATCAGATCACTCCCTGGACCCTGAATAAACCACTTCACCTCTGCAAGCCTCCCTTTCCTCATCTGTAAGATGGGATGGCCGGTGGCAAAGGAGCATGCCAGGTAGCAGGACCTGGGTACACATCTAGTCGGTGCGAAGAACCCTTTCACAGAACACGAGTGGTTCAGGGAGGGCAGAGGTGAGGAACTCCAAACAAGAAAGCAGATGAAACTGTCCTCAGTCAGCCACATGGCGCAGGAGCCAGTCATGCCTTAGGCAGAAGGAGGCAGGTTGGGTGGCCTGGGCTGGAAGTAGGGGTCAGTCCTGCCTTGTCAGTGGCAGGGATATTGTCAATAGCTGCTTCCTGACTGGGACGGGGCTTGCACAGGGCTGGCGCTCACGGGGTCTCTGCGAAGGCCTGGGCCAGATGCAGTCCCTCTCCAAATTCCTCCTCCCAGCAGTGGTCCCCGAAAACAAATGCTCATCCCCCCACCCCCTTCACATTCGCAGACCTGAACAGTAGGTGGCGCTGTAATAAAGAGCAGAACCTAACGAACCCGAAACAGGACACACCAGGGAAGGAAAAAAAAATCACATTTTGCAAACTGTGACCCCACCAGGGGTCACCATCCCCTCGTAATCGAGGGCTGCAGCGATCACTGTGCCTGCGGACTGTGGGAGGCGGAGGTTCTCACAAAGTCCAGCCTCATGGCCTCCAGCCACCAACCTGCGTGGCCAGACCACGGTCGCCGCTGCACATCCCAGCTCCGCAGTCAGTGCGGTGGGAAGATCTCCGAGCACTGCTGCAGGGTGAGCTCCACCACCTGGTTCTGGAACACCATGGTCATGGGCACGGTGGTCTCCTCCGTCTCAGGCCGCAGCAATGTGGGCCCGAACACAATGGCCACGCTCTGCACCGACATGCGGTTCTGCTCCCCGTGCTCGATCACCCTGGGCAGGGGTGGGGTGGGATCAGCGCCCAGAGCTGGGAGTGGGGACGGGGTAGGGCGGGCATGGGTGCTTCAGCCACGATCCACCGTCTTCCCACCATGGGAAGGCTGTCCTACTCACCTGCACAGGTGCTGGAAGAGCACCCGCAGCGTGTCGAGGTTGGGGGCGGGCAAGGTGCGCACCAGGTCACGCACACAGCGGCTGCGCTGGGCATGGTCCTGCAGCTCTGCGCAAGGGAAGGGCCAGAGATGGGGTCCGCTTAGAGTGTGGAAGGGGTCTGCTAGCGTCCCCGTCCTCTCTCCCTTCCCTCTCCCCAGCTGCTCACTGATGGCCGCGATGAACTGGCTGAAGTGTGAGAAGGGGAAAAGGGGCTCAGGCAGCTCTGGGAAGAAGAGCTTCAGGGCGCCCGTGATCACGTGGACGTCCTCCCAGCGCCCATCGTCCAGGTCCAGACGCTCATCTGCGGCCAGGGAGGGGGAAGAGAGGACCAAGGGGAGGTCAGCACCCCTGCATCATGCCTTCAGGCCCTGGGACAGGGGTTGGGGTCAGGCCTCACCGTGGTCCATCTTATAGCGCAGCTTCTGGATGGTGGCCAGGTTTCCACTGATGCGGTAGAGCCCGTCAATGTCCAGCCCTGGGGGGAGAGGGAGATACTGACTCTGGGGGGTGGCTAGAGCCCCTGCTGATTCTGTCTCCGGCTTCCAGTTCTCTCTCCCTCCACCCTGTGCCCACCCAAGGACCTCCCGGCTTTAGAGCTGGAGGGAGGCCACCGAACACCGGAAGCCTCGCTCAGCTCATGTGGTGCATACCCCGAGCCTCGACCGTGCAGATGCACTGCTGCACAAAGCGTGGCACCGGGCTCCTCTCGCGTTCACACAGGGCAGCCAGTGCGCAGCAGAACACCTGGTCTGGGAGAGAAGGTCATCAGCGCCACCTGGTCCCGCGCCACCTGTGCCCAGTCTCCGGCAAGCCACGGATACCTTTGATGTAGCCCTTCTCTCCCCCCCCTCAATACCCAGCAGAAACTATTTTGCCCTTATTTCTAATTTTGTTGTAGAGAGAGTATAAGCAATAATAGGAAGGAACAAGGGTTTTTGCTGGTTGAGATAAGGATAGCTATACAGGGCATTGACTCACATCGATTTCCTGTGTGTGGGTGTTACCTTCTAGGTTAATTCTTTTTGATCTAACCTTTTCTCTAGTTCCTGGTCCCCTTTTCCTATTGGCCTCAGTTGCTTTAAGGTATCTGCTTTAGTTTCTCTGCGTTAAGTTTGCCTATTTTAAAAATGGAGTTATTTCTATTGTTGAGTTGTAGGAGTTCTGTATGTATTCTGTATACAAGTTTTTCTATGTTTTGCAAAGGTTTTCTTTCAGACTGAAGTTTGTCCATAGTTTTTTTTGAGGGGATAGTGAACGTGACAGTAAAGTTTATTAAGAAGGAAATAGACTGAGAGTGGGAAAGGAGGAAAGAGAGTTTCCCTTCGTTAGGTAAAGGGCTATTAAAGAGGCAGTGCCAAGGGGGTTTCCATCCCTCTGTACCCTCCCAGTGCTCCCAAAGCCCCTTCAAAGAAAGGTGCACTTACCAAGCTTTAAGACCAGGCTAGTTGCTGTAACACATAAGCCCATGAATACACTGTGGATTTTTCTCATGTACCAGTTCATAAGAGCTGTTCCTGGCCTGCAGGTGGCTTTCCTCCATGCACTGACTCTACTGTCCCTTCCTGCACCCAGTTAGTGGAAGCGGAAAGAGACCTCCGTGAAAGGCACGACCACTTCTCAGAAGCTTGGCCCAGCTGGGACACGCGTTACTTCTGCTCACATTCCATTGGTAAGAACCTGTCGGGAGGCCAAGGGAGCCTGGGAAATGTCCTGGCTTAGCAACTGCTTCCCAGTGACAACTCCATGTTGGGGAGTGTCCCTGCCACTAAGCTTTTGAGTTTTCACCAGTCTTGTGACCTTGTATCATAAACAGTTCAGAAGTGAGGGATTGTTTCTTCCCCTCCCCCTCCCCATCACTAATGTCTCTGTCTCTGACGTTCCTCTCCACCTCACTCAGCCAGTCCTGGCTCCCCCTCTTTCTAGATGCCCCTACATCTGATCTCCTCCAAGAAGCTCTTCAAAGATCTCAATATCCACACCTGTTCTTCGGGTACCCTTTTGGCCATAAACATGAGTGGGAGCTATGTTAAGTGACAGATGTCCTCCTCTCCCTTTTTCCTGTCATTCCTTCAATTGAGGACCAAGGTTTTCCCCACCATCCACACCAAAGCCTCTGATGAGTGTGCCCTGGGAGGAGGGGACAGATGTGCTCACATGCAGGAGGCTCTGGGTGATGATGGTCCTTTTAGAGGGGAGGGGAGGAGAACAAGAGACCCTGGGCAGGAGCAGAGAAGGGGGCCAGCTACCCAAAGTGGGGCTGCATGCTAACACAAGTTTGCTGATGTCTCAGCTGCATATTTCTTCCTTTTCTTTCCCTTGTTAGGTAAGCGCTCTGCCACTGAGCTGCTTGCCCAGCCTCAGCTGTATTTTTCAGTCGTGTGTTTGCATCATCCACTTTTCCAGACAAACTGAGGACTAAACCAACAGTCCATTTGGAGTTTCTACTCCCATTTCCTGCATGGGGAGCAGGAAATGTTTCTCCCCTTTTCCTCATTTCTACGCATTTTTATCCTGTTATACCAAATGCCTTTCCTGTGCTGGACATAGTATTAACTGATTTATCTTCCAAACAACCTCATGAGCTAGGGACCCTTCCTTTATGCCTAATTTGTAGAGGAGAGTAAAACTCAGAGAGACCCAGTAATGTTCCAAGGTCACACAGCCAACGAATAGAAGTATCTGAGTTTGATCTTGGTACCCAGCCTCCCATTCTGCTGTTTCCTCCAACACTGGTATGTCGCTGAGTGGTCCAGTGGACAACTTGGTGCCCTTTGATTGCCCAGGTCCTCTTCCCCACTTCCCAGCCTTCCTTGCAGTTAGGCTGGGGCCAGGCAATGGACTCTGACTAGTGGGCTGTGAATGGAGGTGATGTGTATCATTTCTGCACCAAAGCACTTAGGTGCTTGGTGTCCACCTTCCTGCTGTCTCTTTTCCTTTGTGGTGGCCACAGAGGCCATGGCTTCAAATGGTGGAGCCACTAGAAAGGAAGCAGCCTGGATCACTGCATTATCATATAAGGGACGGCTGACCCGGAGAGTCTCTCAACCTGCAGAGCCCCCTGTGGGCGAGATTCTTCATCGTTGATGTGTGAAGAAGCCCATGAGACTTGGAGGTGGCATTGTGACTGCAAGGTACCGCAGCCTCCACTGACCACCACTCCAGAACAGGACACCAGGCACGGCAGGGCTCCTCCCAGTTGGTTATCACAATGTGGTGTTCCTCCAACACTTTGTTTTGTAAACTTACAGTGCTCTAAAGATGGGACTGAGCACTGTCCAAACACAAGCTGCCGGGAGAGATGGGAGAAAACTGGGGGTCTTCGCCAGCCCCTGGACAGCTCTCCTCTGCCCTGCATCAGGCTTGTCCTCACTGCTGCTTTCAAAACTGTTCACCTGAGGCGCAGCCCCTCTGTCTCCACCCCTGAGCACAGCTTCCAGAAGACAAAGCCCAGACACCATGGGCGCCTCCCCAGATACTGGCCAAAGTGTCGGGAAGTCTCTCCAGGCCTCACGTTGTCATTCCCATGTGTCCCTGGGGACACAGAGCTCCTGCAGTCCCTCTCTGATGGGGGACCACTAGCTGTGTGCGGCACACAGGAAGCCTGCCCAGTGCCAGTGGGGAGAAGGTGGAGGGTGCAGGGAAGGCAGGAGAGTGAGTTTTCTCCTTTCAGTTCCCCAAAGCCCCACAGACCATGTCTGTACATAGCCCTGCACTCGGTGCTGTGGGAACACAAAGAGGTTGTGGCGCCTGCCTTCTGGAAGCTTCCATCCTGTAAGCTCAGGCAGACATGAGCCACAGAAACTTTGCAAGGGAGCAATGGGTTAGGGGTTTTTCACTTGACAATGACAGGAGCCCGGAGCCAGAGCGAGATCTAGGGAGAGAAAAGATTGCTCTCACTTCTGAAAATCATTCCGTTTCAAAGTTATTATTTTAAATTAATGTATGTGTTTGTGTATGCCAGAATTAAAGGTACCATTTCAGATTTTCTGATTGCAAAATTTTAAAAAAGTTTATCAAAAATGAAACTTTTCTTTTCCTTTTTTTCCTCCCTCCCTGCCTCTCTCTCCCTCCTTCCCTTCCTTCTTCCCTCCCTTCCTTCCTTCCTTTCTCCTTCCTCCCCACCTTCTGCTGATCTCCTAAATTAGCTGGTATCCTAAGTCCCAATTTTGAGTTATCCAACACTGAACCAAATTCAAAAGGATTTATTTTTGCCAGACTAGGCAGACACAGATAAAGGGTGACCAGGACAGAACACAGAGGCCAAAGGCAGCACCAGCCCCACACCACCATCCAGGGCTTGAGATTTCTTCCCTAGTGCCACAATGCCATCCAGCCTACAGCTCATCAAATTAAGGGAGGGGTGGGCTCTGGCTCCTCATGCCAGAAGGCCCTGGAAAGTCAGACTGTGCCAACATTGCCCTAAGTAGACCTCCCTCTAAGCCTCAGTTTCCCCCATCAGTCACAGGATCCTGGTCGGGCTCTGAGGGCCAGGGGCTGCCAGAGGAGCAGGCTTTTAATAGGGTGTCTGCAAAGGTTGGGATGGCTGGCTGGAATGGGCCCGACAGATGGGGTGGAACTGGAGAGGAGGGGGCGGACCACGGAGGAAGGCTTAAGCCAGGGAGGGTCACAAGCTTAAGCGATCCCTTCTCAGCAAAATAATTTGAGAATGTAACCCAATAAGTGTATTTATTTACTTATATATTATGCCATTATAACCTAAATGTAAAAGTAAAATTCCAAAAGAGATACCTAGGGCCGGGACTCTAGCTCAGTGATAGAGAGAGAGGTGTCAGTAGTAAACAAGTTAAACAAATCAAGGCCCATCTGTACAATGAAGTACCGAGCTATACAAAGGAATGGTGGACTGGTGGTGTGGCTCCAGGGGGGGGTTCCTGCTTTGCAAACCCAAAGCCCTGAGTTTAAACCCCAGTCCTGCCAAAAAAAGAAAGAAAGAAAGAAAGAAAAGCTAAATTTAACCAGATAGCCCAGAATTCTACTCAGAGGTGTCCACCTGAGAGAAATGCAAACATGTCCACTCAAGGACTTGCACGTGAAAGTTCACAGCAGCACGGTGACCAATGATGACACTAATACTGCTCCTGATGACAATGGTAGGCCTGGAAACATGCAAGCGTCCGTCATCTGGCAAATGGATAACAAACTGTCTATACAATGAAATAAAAAGGAACAGACTACCGAAACATGCCACAACATGGATAAACCCCAAAACATTATCTCAGCAAAAGAAGCCAGACACAAAAGTCACATATTGCGTGATTCCATTTACGTGAAATTTCCAGAAAAATTTATAGAGATAGAAGATCAGTGGTCACCTGGGGCTGGGGCGGGAGTGGAGATTAACTGTCAGCGGACCCAAAGGAACTTCTGGGGACAATGGAACTGTCTAAAACTGGATCATAGTGACAGTCACACAACTCCGTACATTTGCTAAAAATCGTTGCATGGAACACCTATGATGGATAAATTTGATCTCAACAAAGCTGTTTTAGAATAAACAAAATGAGGAAGCTAATTAGCATTAGTTTTGTAAGTCTTTATGGTTTTCTTTTCGGGGGTTACTGGGGTTTGAAATGAGGTCTTGGAGTTTACAAAGCAGGTGCTCTACCACTTGAGCCACACCTTCAATCCATTTTGCTGTGGTTATTTTGAAGATGGGTTCTCATGAACTATTTGCCTGGGCTGGCCTCAAACCACAATCCTCCTGACCTTAGCCTCCCAAGTAGTTAGGATTACAAAGGTGAGCCACCAGTGCCCAGCTTCCATGATGCACTTTTATTTATTTATTTATTTATTTATTGTGGTACTGGGGCTTGAACTCAGGGCCTACACCTTGAGTCACTCCACCAGCTCTTTTTTGTGAAGTGTTTTCTTGAGATGGGGTCTCATGAACTATTTGTCGGGGACTGGCTTTGACCCATAACCCTCCTGCTCTCTGCCTTCTGAGTAGCCAGGATTAGAGGCTCCAGCCACAGGCGCCAGGCTCACAATGTACTTTTAAATGGAAAACGCAAAGTGCAGAGCACACAACCATTAGCACTTTGTAAAGGGGAAAGGGTGTGCATAGGTCTCCCTTACACAGATTTACATTTTTACTTTTGGTCTCGAACTCCTGGTCTCAAGTGAGCTTTCTGCCTCAGCCTCCTGAGTAGCCAAGACTAGAGGCTGGATCTCTTGTGCCCAGCTACACTTAGCTATTTTTAAGCTACAGTTCAGCAGAATTAAATCTGTTTTTTTTGTGCAATCATCACCACCATCCATCTCCAGAGCAAGTTTCAGCTTGTAAAACTGCAACTCGGTACCCATTAAACCGTGACTCCCATCCCCTCTCCCCAGCCCCTGGCAACCACCACTCTACTGTCTGTCTCCATGAGTAAGGCAACTCTGGGTAGCCTATATAAGCAGGATATATAGTATTCATCGTTTTGTGACTGGTTTATTTAGTATCTTTTTTTTTTTTTTGATACTGTGGTTTGAACTCAGGGCCTATACTTTGAGCCACTTCACCAGTCCTTTTTTTGTGTTGGGTTTTTCTGAGATAGGGCCTCGGGAACTATTTGCCCAGGGCTGGCTTGGAACCTCCAGCCTTCTGATCTCTGCCTCCTGAGTAGCTAGCCATCAGTGCCTGGCTTAGTATAGCTTCAAGGTTCATCCATGTTCGAGCATGTGTCAAAATCACCTTTTTTTTTAAAGCTAAGCATATGCCAGTGTCTGTGTGCCACACAGTTTCTCCATCCATCCATTCCTCCATGGGCAGTTGGTGGCTTCTGTGTGTGCTAATGTGTTGCTGTGAACGTGGACGTCCAAATATTTCTTCAAGATCCCTGTTATCTTTACATTTGTCTTTTTTATATTCCTTGTACAGGGGGGATTCATTGAGATAAATCCGAACAGACTTACATCCTACATTGGTTAGATCACCCCCACCATCTCTCCCCCTCCACCCCTCCCCGCCACACTTAGAGCCATTGCAAGAGGTTTCTTTGTTTTATTTTGTACATGAAGCCCATGAGCCACACTCCCTCACCTTAACATCCATCCACCCTCCCCTCCCTATCTTTGCACTTTTCAAGCATGAAGATATTATTTAGAAATAAATGAAAAGGATATTTAAAAATAAGTAGAAATGTACTACTTTCTGCGTTCACTTCTGGAGACGACCCCGACCAAACTTCCATCCTCCCAATCTTAATCTACATATAGCTAGGATTTCAAGACATGAGCCACTGGCACCTGGCTCCCCTAACAGAGTTATTTTTATTTTTTAATTTTATTTTTATTATTTTTACATTTATTTACATGTGTATACATTATTTGGGCCACCTCCCCCCCATATATTATTTTTTGGCAGCCCTGGGATTTGAACTCAGGGCCTAACGCTTCCTAGGCAGGCAACTCTACCATTTGAGCCACTCCTTCAACCCCTCCCCTAACAGTTATTTAACGGCACCTCCTATATGCACATCACAGTTCTGATACAGCAGTGAACCAGACCTGGTCCCTGCCTTCATGGAGCTTCCAGTCTAGGGGGGAAGATGAATATTCAACAGCCAAGTGATTAATAAACATTGTGGCAAGCCCTGAAAAGTCCTATGACAGTCTAGGATGGGCCCAAATTGGTCTTGGGGGCGGGGACAGCTCATACTTCCATCTCCTCCCTCATGCTCCTGCCTTCAGCAGCCCCTACACTGTGGATGCCTGGACAGTGCTACTGAGACAAAAAATTTGGCAAGGAACACTGACCCTGGGACAGAGGGAAGATATGTCCAGAGGTGCCCTCAATGGGGTTCTGGCCCACCCCAAGCTGCCCAATCTTTCTCTGACTCCCCCCTGAATGCAGCAAGTTGGGAGGGGACAGGTGGAGCCGAGGAGAGACACAGGTATCTAAGCTGAATCCAGGCGCTTGTCCAGCCAGCAGGCTCTGGGTGAGGGCTTCGAGAAGGAGTTCAGGATGAACCATCTCTGGCAATGTCAAGGGAAGAGAGGGTCTCAAAAATCAGTTAACCTGCTGGGTACCGGTGGCTCATGCCTATAATCCTAGCTACTGGAGAGGCAGAGAT